GAAACTTCTATGGAATAACTGTTTCATTCTTTGCCTTACTTATTCCACCCAATAAACACCTTGCCAGCTCTGCCTTACCCAAAGGCCCCACCTTGGACCACGTTCTCTTTCCTTACCACTGTACTGCCTCCTGTCTTTGTAAAAAACAAATTAACAGATGTTATCTGTCCCGAAGAGCCACACTGTTTCCTTTGATTCAGAGATAATAGCTATGGCCTAAGTCCAATAATAATGCCGGCTTTCCATATTTAGATTAGATAACACAGTTCAGAATTCAGACAGACAGCTACATATTCAGGAACGTTGCGGCCTTCTCCCTTTCTTTCCGATTCTGTCCCCTTCTCATGCCTCCAAGGACACACCTCTCCATGACCACATATGCTGACACGTGTCAGGAATAGTCTGTGATTCACATGAGTAAGATGAACGTTGATTGCCATTTGTTCTATGCCAGGCGCCATGCAAGGCTGCTGGCTCATGCAACATCCCATTTTATGAGCAAGATTTAAGTTTGGGAGGAGGTGAGTTAGATATCTTCCTCTAACACAGCCAGCAAGCAGTTGGGGTGTGGTGAGGAGAAGCTTGGGAGAGAACAGCGTAATCGCAGTAGGAGCCAGTCTTCCTCTGGTCTAGAATGCCCTGCTGCGTCGGCCACACTCACCCCGCCCTCTCATCCCTCGCCTCTTCAGCAGCCTCACATGGACTGATAACCTCTCTTCCTAAGACAGCACTTGTCACGTGTAAGAGCTTCTCCCTTGGGTGAACTCGCATAACGGTGTATTTATTTTTCTGTTCACATATTGCATGGAAAATGAACTAACAGTTGTTAACGAAAATAAATAACATCTTGCTGCTGGCCCAGCAGGAGTAGTGCATGACATCTTTGAGAAACTTCTCAGTCAGCAGCAGTGGCTGCAGAAGCTTCTGCAGTGACCTGCAGACACAGATCATGGCTAGATTCCCCAGCATCTGGTGATAATACCACGGGGAACACACTCCCTGCCCTCTGTGAACTGCTTGCAGTTTGTCTCCTTAATTAGATTGTGAGACCCTCAAAGGCAGAGGATGTGCTTATCCATCTTTTCATTCTGTCCAAGGCAGTGCCTGGGACTCATTATACCATCAATAAATCCTGTGAGGAAATAGTTTCTCACTTGATTGGTCTTAGGAGGAAACCACAGACCACCGGTTGGAGGTCTCAGGGTCCTTTGTTGCCCTATGGAGGTGGCTGTTCGCTGTAGCCCTTGCCTTCCCTTCAGTTCCCTTCTGTACCCTCTCTGCCTCCTGTGGCTGGGATGGAAGCCACAGCTTTGTGCATGGGCGGAAAGCACTGTACACTAAGCTACACTCTCAGCTCTATATGTTTTTGGTTTTCCCTCCTGTCATTTCCCTTCATTTGGATTTAAAGGAAACCCACTGATTCTGGGCATACCTGGCTTACAGCTTCCCTCTGCCCAACACCTTCACCTCAACAATCCCCACTCCCTGAGTACACAGGCCCGAGTGGGGGGCTATGTAAGACTAAAGCACCCATCTTCCTCTGCAGCACACAGGGCCCAGGTCAGCATGCCTCATCTGAGAGCAGAGCCCACCCCCAGCAGAACCACAAAGTGCCAGGCCACCTATCAGCACCGGGTGCTTTCGATCACCAGATTGTGTCCCCTTCATGTCGAGCCCCAGAACTCAGTCTGTCCCCAACATGGCTTAGCTGTCAGAGAGCATCACACAGCTTTTGTGACTCCTTCAGTGTAAATGTCTGGCTATAAGTCCCAAACAGGACCCCAGGACTGGCCAGTGACTCCACAAAATTTCCACAATATATTTACTTTCTCACACTCAAAATGAGCAGTTCTCTTACACTTTTTGCTCCTCAAACCACACGTCCCCAGGCTCTTCTAACTATGAGCTGTTGCCTTTGCTTCTTGTTTCACTGAGGATATAAAGTTGTCCTGAAAAGGCCTCGACGCTGTCCCCATACCTACCTGCTTTGGTGTTCTAGACTATATTTCCTGTCATTCTCTCCCCTCAACACGGAGGTCTGGCTTCTCTCTTGCTTACACCATAGGTAGCCCACTCTATTTCATCATCCTCATTAGAATAGAATTGTAATCTCATCTCTCTTATCTCTGAAAGCCTTCCCTAGATTCTTCCAGCTATGTCCTCCCTTTCCTGGTTCCACTGTAGCAGAATCTGCAAGAGAGCTGTCTATTTTCCACTATTTTTCTCTTATTCTCTAGAAAGCACACAGTTCAGTTTTTGTTTCCATCACAACCTTGAAGCTGTCACCCTCAATGGCCATCTTCCATCACCAAGGACCTCCTTGTCACCAATTCCACTGTTGGCCTGTCCTCTCACCTGGTCAGTCCTGCCTTCTGGTAGTACTTTCCTTCTGCCTTAGGTACACAACAATTTCCTAATTTCTCTCCTACCCCCTGGGCCTCTTCTCTATCTTTTTTTTTCTGGGTGGTTCTTTTCTTAACCCCAAGAATCAGGATTTGTCAAGTCACAGGTCCTTGTCTCAACACTATCTCTCTAGCAGAACTCTTTTTTTTTTTTAGCTTTATGTATGTTAGTATGTCAGGTCCTATCGGCATCCCACCTTCCTCTCTAAACTCCAAATTCATTTTTATGGCCTACCTGGCATCTCCACTGAAGATGTCTAAGACATCTCCCAGCACAGCATACACAAAACAAATGCTCCTAATTCCCATTTCCGACAGCCCTTCCAAACTCTCATGCTCTAGTCTTGCATTCTCAGCAAAGCATACTCCCATTTACCTAGTTATTCAGGCCTCAATCCTGTAAATTACCCTCCATTACTCTCTTTTTCACATGCTACATCCAAATTCGTCAGCCCTCCATACAAAGTAAGTGCTGAATATGATTGCGTCTTACCACCTCCACCTGCGTCATCTGTGTGCATGCTCTCACAGCCTCTTGCCTTTTGACTTCTCGTAGCAGCCTCTTAACTGGTCTCCCTCCTTTCATTCTTGCCCACTCAGACCACTCATGCTCCACCCAAGAACCGGAATGATCTTTTAACTATAAAATGAGACTAGTCATCTCCTGTTAAAAAACCCTCCAATACCTTCTCATAATTTCAACAATGTGCAAAGACTGCTTTGGCCTAGCTGGCCCTGTGTGACTTGGGCTCACCTAGCCTCTGCCTCTCTTTGAATTTGTCTTCCTCAGTATCTGTAACTCAGCTACAGGGTCCCCCCTGTGGTTTCTCTGTACTTGCTGTCCCCTTGTCCCAGGAGCTCTTCCTCTCAGATCTTGCAAGGCTTGGTCCCCACAGTCAGGGCTCCACTCAAATGTCACCTTTGCAGATCAGACTTTCCTGGACCACCCATTCCATCATCTTGTCACTTTCTGCCCTCTTGTTTGTGTTGACTTTTTATAAATGCTTGTTAATCCTTGACTTCTTAAGGGTGTACTTATTTGTTTATGTCTATCTCCTTCAAAAGAATGGAAACATCTCCCTAGAAAGGACTTTTCTGCTTTGTTCATCTAAGGTGTAAAACAAATGCTTAATAAATGCTTGTCAAGTGAACAGGAAAAGTATACAGAGTTGCAGAGGCAGGAAGAGGTGGGATGCAGGAAGGCAGGGCAGCAGGCAGCTGCCCATGGAATCTCCATCAGCTCAAAGCTGTGACATACTCCAGGAGCCGAGTGAGTCACCACAATAGGTACGAGGCAAGACCAGGTGTTGGACTGAGAGGGGTCTTCCCAGCAGCCCGTCCCATAGAAACTTTGCTATTATAGAAATAATGTGCATTTTTGCTGCAGCACACAGTAGCCACGGGCCACATGGAGCTAATAAGCACCTGAAAAGTGCTGGTGAGACTGCAGAAGAGAATTTTGATATTATTAAATTTCAATTTACACTGAAACATACACCTACTGGCTATAGTAAACCCCTCCTCTCACACACATTACGGGATAATAGTTGTTGAAGAGCTGAGTGAAATGCATAGTTTGGTGAAATGCCTGGAACATGGTTGGGACTCAAAGTATGGCAGCTGCTGTTATGACAGGGTTGCAAATTAATACACTTTAAGTACATGTCACTTAAGTATGGCTCTGAGGTACCTGGGAAGGATTTTTTTTTTTTTACTAATTTTCACTCTGACTTTTGTTAGAGTTACTGGGTAACCAGCACGTGGATCTATATTTGTGCTCATGAACTAAAAATAGCAAACGACCATTTTGGGATCTCACTGAAGGCTTTTCAGAGATAACTCTCCAAGGAGATCAGCTTGCAGGTACTTACCATGAGCTAATTAGTTTTGACAGCAGCTTACTTAACACCTGCAAAACCCTGAATTTGTCACATTACAGTATTATTTTCCAACAGTGTCATCTGCAACATCCTGGATGATTTTGGATAACAGTAACATCTGTTTTAATCCTTAGCATTAAAATAAACGAGTAGCTATCAAAATAGTGGCATGGAATCTTTAAGGCTTACAATGGTTTGAGCATAAAATCCATTTTGTTACTGTTATTCATCCTTCCATAGTGAATCCAGGATATAAAGTTAACAGAATACAGGACATAGGCAGACCATTCTAAGGAACCTTTATGAACGATCAAATTTGACATTAAACTCACACATTTGTCCAGTACAAATCTGGCACTTATTTCCAGGCCAAGTGGTTTGTATTCCCCATGACTGGCAGAGGGAAACCAACATTCCACAAGCTGCCGGAGCACTCCGTGGAGACTGTGAGTCTCCAGAGAAGGCAGATAGATTTAAATTAAACACATGCTTAAAGGCTTTAAGAAGAGTTGACATTCTTATTAAGGAGACCAATTAATCTGCCGCAGTCGGAAGCCACTTTACAGTTGATGAAAAAGCGCCCTAGGACCACAAGCCAATGAGACTGGAACAGAAAGAGAATGAAAATACGCGTTCCCACCGGGGAGCCCGCCCGACCTTCAGAGCTGTTTGGAATGCAGATCTCTCCCTGGGTACCTAGGCCAGCGAGCAGACTTACCAATGGGCATCACCAGGAAGAAGGGCAGCCAGCAGAGCACGAAGCAGCCGACCACGATGCCCAGCGTTTTGGCTGCTTTCTTCTCCCGGGAAAACTTGAGCAACCGCACGGAGAAGTGTGTCTTGTTCTTGGAGCTGCTCACCCCACCACGTCCTGTGGGGACATTTTTCCTGTGGATGCGTAGAGTGACTTGCTCTGAGTCCGACTTGTCAGTCTTGAGGCCCGATGTGAGGCCCCGGCTCTCTCTCTTGGCCACCACATAAACCCGACAGTACATGACCAGGATGATGGCCAGTGGCACGTAGAAGGAGCCCAGTGCGGAGAAGAGCACGTAGCCGGGATCCTCGTTGATTTGGCAGATGGTTTCGTCCTGGGGGGCCGGCTGCCTCCAGCCAAACAGTGGCCCGATGGAGATGACCAGGGACAGTGCCCAGACGCAGAGCAGAGCCCGGAGGCCCCTCCTCTGGGTGACAATGGTGGGGTAGCGCAGCGGGTAGCTCACGCCAATGTAGCGGTCGATGGAGATGATGCAGAGGCCCATAATGGACGCAGTGCAGCACAGGACGTCCACTGCTGCCCAGATATTGCAGAATACCCTGCCAAAGGCCCAGTAGCCCAGGATCTCGAAGATGGCAGAGAAGGGCAGCACCGTGGAGGTGAGTAGGAGGTCGGCCACTGCCAGGTTGACGATGTAGTAGTGCGTGACTGAGTGCAGATGCCGGTGGCAGGCCACGGAGAGGATCACTAAGATGTTCCCTAGCACCCCGAAAAGGATGAGTCCCCCCAAGATCACCCCGAGCAGAATGGCCTTGGAAATGTTCACTGGTGCGTGCGGGTGGGTGCAGTTGGAGCTGTCAGAAGCATTTCCGGAGAGAAACACCATGGTCCCAGCGGGGTGGGCGAGGTCCAGCTCTCCAGGGCCCCCCTGGCCAGAGGCAGAGGCGGTGAGCTGGAGCTGGGAGTCAAAAGGGCTGAGCTTGATTGGGTGTGAGAAAGAGTGCACAGGCAGGAAACAACCCTGGCCAGTCTTGGGGCCCCTTGGAGGGCCACGCGAAGGAAGCACAGGGCACCGGAGGTGACATAGCTGGGAGGCGCGCGGGCCACCGAGACTCTCCACTCGATGCGCGCCCCGGTGCTCCGAGGCCTCCCTACCTGAAGCAGCGTGCAAAGCTCAAAGAGAATCCTTTGAAAAATGCAGTTCCGGAACTACCAGGGTCCGCTTCTCTGTACTGTCTGGTCCGTCCTAGTTGGGAGATGACGGAGCATTCTGGGCATAAGTTGGAATTCAAAAATCCAGCGCCAACCTTCTCCCAAATCACAGTCCACTACGGATGAAGCCGTCCATGCTCGGAGGCGGGAACCGCAGGTAGCCGGCGCTTCTGCGGGCCCGCAGTTCCCCAGGGTGAGGCTGCCCCAGCCTGTCCCCTACTACTCAGTGTTTTAGGTTCACAGGCAGGGTGAGAGGGGTGTGCATAAGTCCAGTCTGCGGCGACGCTGCAGCTTGGTTCCCCTCGTCGTCCTGAAAGAGCCAAAAGAGAAAGGTGGACCGTGAGCCAGGCAGCCCGGGAGGAGGCCATACCCAGCCAGACCTGCAGTGGACTCCAGCTGGGAGCCCTAAGGCCCTGCGATCCTGGAGGGGCCTTGCGCCTGGGAGGAAGGAGACCCGTGTGTGTGTGTGTGTGTGTGTGTGTGTGTGTGTGTGTGTGTGTGTGTGTGTGTGTTGGGGGGAGGGGGGTGTTGGGGCGGCCGCACGCGAGTCCCTCACTATCCAGACCTGAGGTTCGCTGCTTCGCCTCGCCACCTCTGGCCAAGTTCAAAATGCTAAGCACAAAAATCAAGGATAAAAAAAATCACTCCCGTCCACCCCCCCCAACCTATATAACAGTAATAAACACCCAAGCCCTGACTCCCGGAGGCCGAGGTGGGAATGCCAGCACGGTGACAATAAAATCCCAGAGCCCGCACTCGAGGCGCGATTGCAGCTGGCTGTGCCGCACGGAGAGCTGGAGGAATCCGGAGAGCTAACAGCTGCTGCTTGCACGCTTGCACCGTTGCCCAGCAGTCACCTGGAGGAGGGTGATCTGGGAGAGGGAACCTCAGCGACCCGGGCGCCGCAGGGCCGGCGCCAGGCGCACGCTCACGACGCGCAATTTGCACTCGGGTGCGGAGCGCGCGGTTCTGTCCACCAGCTCGGGGACCGGGAACCAGGTCCCGGCACAGCAGAGCGGATCCCAAGGGCTGGAGGCAACCCGGTCAGTCCAGGCTCGGGTGCCACACCACAGGGTCGCGAGCTCCTGGGGAGCTGGCCAGTGAGTTCACGTCTCCGCCCACGGGGCTCGGCAAGTGGTGGTCACTGCGGATTCTGCAGGAACAAAAACCAAGCCAGGACTGGGAGTCCTCGGACTTTCAGGGATGGGGCCATGATCTGCGGCAGAAATCTGCGTTTCCACAGCTGCAGAAGGACCGAGGGACTCGGTGCAGGAGCGCGGGGCGAGGGGTCGTGACCACCTGGCCTTCTGAGTTGGGCCCCGGGGCAGGAATCCCGGGCAAAGGCTACGGTGAGCACCGCCAAGTTGAAGCGGTCACAGGTGACAGTAAAATCACGCCCCTCGCCGAGACTGTTGGCGAGGCCACCGCACCCGGGTCAGAGACACTTGTTAGCTACAAGGCAACTTCCCAGGATAGAGAAAGGAAACGGGCGCCGGCCGGGTTCAGGGAAGACGCCGGCAGGGAGCGGCGACGCTGGGGTCCGGCGGGACCCGGTCCGAGCCGGGCACCCGGAGGGGCGCCCCGTGCAGGGCCCTGCGGTGTCCGCGCCCCGCGCCCGGTACTCACTTGCGGCGCGGTTGCCTCGGTTCCCGCGGCCGCCGGCCCGGCCAGGTCTTCCCGGTGGCGGAGAGGGGAAGGCTCTCGGCAGCTGGAGTCCGGTCCCGGGCGCCCGCTGACTCACCGCCCGCGGCTGCCGTCTCCTCAAACTCCTGCCTCGCCACGCTTCACCTGGCCATGTTAAAATGAAGAGTGAAAACAGAAAAAGAAAACAAATACAACCGACCAATAACTCCACTATCACGCTTTTAATATACGGCTCCTCGACACTAGAAAAGAAAGGCGAGGAACTTTGCAGCTCGCGCTGACGTAACAGCGGCAGGAGCCCAGCGAGTACCGTAATCTCCTGCTGTTACCGTATTACTCCAGCCGCAGGCAGAGCGCGCAAGCCGTGGCTTCTCCGCTGGGCCCCAGAGCGAGCGGGGCTGTAGGTGATGCGCGTGCGAGACTGCGTGCGTGTGTGCGTGTGTGCGTGTGTGTGTGATATAACTTTAATGGTCTGATAAAAAAATTAATTGGATACACTTGCCAGATATTACTATGCACACGCTTGTGTTCACAGAAATCTTGGAAAATAATTTGAACAGCTTAATTATTTAACACAAAGCCAAGGCTGGTTAAAATCAAAGAGCTTCTTGTTATGCTAATTATGCAGATAAATTATATTATCTGCAAAGGTTTTTAAAGAAGGTAAAATCAGTAAAATTCAATAAATTTAGTTGTAATAAGATTGTGTTAGGGTCAGCCAAATAGCTCAGTGGATTAAAGCACCTGCAAGTAGGCACAGGGGCTTGGGGTTTGATCCCTGGGCCTGCCCCTGGGGCATACTGAGATGGCCATTGAGACTGGGCGTGGTGACATGAGCCTGTAATCCCAGCTCCTGGGAGGCTGTAAACAGGCAGATCACTAAGAGTCTGATCTAATAGTGAGATCCTGAACACACTGTAGACCTTTCTCTAAAAATGCAAAAAAGAAAAAAGAAAAACAAAAGATTGTGTTTCCGGAGGGATACAGTGAACATATTTAAATCTTACTAAATTTGATCCACTTTACATTTTTGAGACAAATGGCTTTGTTTCTAGCCTCGTATTTTCTTACGACTGTTTCTCAGTGGCCATCTATTTGTTTCCAATTTTTAGAGAAAAATGTTTTCTTGAAGTGCTGGTACTTCCCTTTAATTCTGATTCAGTAATAGTTGGAGTATGGAAAGTTGGCATAAACAGTTTTATTTATTTTTTTCCTGGTAAGTTCCATGCTCTGTTTACCTTATGGTTGAATAAAACCATATGTATTCCAAAACATAAAGAAAATTAATTTTTCCCATTCTAGCTTCCAGTTCTTGAATCACCTTTTGTTTTCTCTCTCAATATTATTATTTTTCTAAGTCTGATAACATTTGGAAGGTTCCTTTAGAGCAACAAATGTCACAGTGTTTGGAAGAAGGTTCCCAAGAAGCTTCAGGAACCCTGTATCATTGAGAACCTTATATGTAGATTTCCTTTTCTTTTGTACACAAAATCTCCCTGCTCCTGCATCTGTAGATGACACCACACCTTTTATATTTGCTTTGACTTTAATATTATTAAAAAAAAAACATGTACAAGGGCTGGTGAGATAGCTTACCAGACTAAGCACCTGCTTAGATAAGCTCAGGGACTGGGTTCAATGCATAGCACCATATGCTGTGCGGCCCCACCCCTGGGTGTGCTGAGCTGACCCCCAAGTGGTGGCACACACCTGTAATCCCAGTGCTGGGGAGGGTGAAACAGGAGGATCACAAGTCTGAGCTGAGAGCCTATACCAAATACATTAAAAAAGTAAAAAGCAGAACAAAACAAAGCCAAGTACAAATGCCCTGTTCATCCATAAAATGAATTTGAGGCTATTGAAAGAGCACATGGGTGAGCAGAAAAGAAACCCTGTACCTACTCTGATGACTGTCACCTCTCTCTCTGGGATTAAGTTTCTGTAGGTAGAACAGGCTGTTCCCTGGGTCCCTGGGACTCCAACACACTGCCCCCAAATATGTGACCAAGTCTGTTTTTTCACAAATTCTATCCCCACCTAGCCCCTGATTGCGTATTGCTTAGTCTCCTAGTTACCAACCTCAGGCCATGAATGTCAGTTGTGTATTAAGGTCTGTTCCACGGCAGATAAGGGAAGGCCTGTTATCTGCAAGAAAAACAACTGAAAATCACTCAGCTTTGCAAGCTTGAATTCTACAGAAGTCTCTGGAGTTTTCCATCTTTAAATCACAGAACATGCGGCTTTATCCTACCCTCAGTGGCTAACTAGCTGATGCTTAGCCTGGAAAAGCTCTGTGTTGCCAAGTAGCTCTTTCAAATCTGTTCCCTGGCCAGCTGCAAAACTAATGTTTTTGAAACAAATATTTCAGTCACTAACCACCAATGGGCGGGAAACTATCCATCCCCTGGTTATACCTCTTTCTTTCTTCCTTCCTTCCCTTCTTTCTTTCTTTCTTTCTTTCTTTCTTTCTTTCTTTCTTTCTTTCTTTCTTTCTTTCTTTCTTTCCTTCTTTCTTTCTTTTCTTCCTTGTGGTATTGGGGGATTGAACTCAGTCCTTTCATAATGAACCATATCCCTCCTCCTTTTTATTGCGAGACAGAGTCTAGCCAAGTTGTTCTCCCTGATCTTGAACTTGTGCTCCTCCTACTTCAGTCTCCCAGAGTACTAGACTTACAGGGGAGCATCACTATGCCTGGCTTGGTTCTTCTTTAAAGTGTTATTCAGATGTCCTAGGAGGTGTCCAAATCACACAGTAGGGCAGGTGCTGTGAAGAGCCAGCAGGAGCTGTCATTAAGGTGCTGTCCCCATGGTCTTGCAGTGTCACAGCATGAGAGAATTTTTTTTTTCAAAATTTTATTGATAAACAGATAGGAAGGAGACAGTTTCAAATCAAATCAGAAGTACAGTTTCAACAAATAACACACTGCATATATTCTTCTTAGTGGTTAAGTGCTGTACAAGATGCGGACTTGAGATCCTATTTACAAACACCATTAGAACAAATCATTCTATTCATTAAGAGAATGCAACTATATATCTATCCTAACCACTTTGAATACACAGATACAAAATGGACATTCATCGGTATATCCCATTTTTTCTAAGTTCCGTTGTTGAATATTATAGGTGTGTAAACTCAGCAAAATATTCTAAAAGAGTCCAGTAGCCCATAATAGCATTGTGTCTTCTGTTTAACTGGCAATGTCAGAAATTACTGACCTGAGTCCCCCACAGCTCAACATAACAGCATGGCTTTACTTCCTGTATTTCGTCTTCATACTTTTCTGCTGGATGGTTAAGACCAAGGTAAAGCAGGACCTAGCATGAGAGAATTTTTGAGCCTTGGTTTCCTAGTTTTAAGAGGAAGATAATGAAATTCAAGGTTGTCGTTGGGGTTGAGTGAAATCCTGTCTCTCATGACTGTAGCTCATAATGCTTACTAACTCTTTTTATTGCCAATCTTATTAACGCTTCTGCTCTCTGCTCCTTTTTTGTGCTAAACTATAGTATACTGCTACCTCGGAGTAGTCCACAGTCATGGTGAACTCAGCTGGAGAGTGTCTATGTGACCTGAACATTACACTTGGACCCAGTGGTGAAATCAATGATTTAGTGTAGTGCCGTAGGAGAGCTGTTCTTCTTTTGCATTCTCCACTTGTCCTACATTGTGATGCTTGATCTTCATTGTCATCTTGATTGACTTGGGAGACAGCTGGGAGATTAGTGACACATGCTTCTGGCTATGTCTGGGTGGGCTGCAGAAGCATGATGTCCACCCCTGGCTCCTTCCCCATCTCTCTGCTTCCTGGTTGCATGAGCACTTAGATCTTTTCTACCATGCCCTTCCACCACGATGCTACTGTCTTGGAATTGCCTGGCCATGGACTGAAATTTCTGGAACTGTGAGTCAAAATAAATCTCTCCTTCCCTTAAGCTGGCACTGAGTCCCAGCGAAGGAAAAGCTGACTAATACACATCTTGAGGGGCCACATGAATGTGTGTGAATACTTAGCCCATGCACCCATAGAACAGGTTGTTGGCTTTGGGCATGAGGTCACACAGTCTTGCAATACTGTCTGTCCAGGGAGGGTGAGCCCAGATCGAAGGACTAAGGGCCTTAACAGTTACTGTGTGGCCATTTGGAGTAAGGGATTCTGGGACCCAAAGAATGGCATAGGAGAGAGAGGACAGGCAGCAAACGCACATCACATTAGTCCCATGGACCAAAGGGAAAGCCATGGCCAAAACGAATTAGCGTTGAATTCTGTAGTAACTGAAGCCCAAGGAAAGGCCCCTCCTGCTTGGATCCAAGGGAGCAGTTCTGTAAATTTCAGGTGTGATGGAAGGTAGGGAGTGTTCAGAAGGGGAGGTTCTGAGAAGGCTCATGGGTGGTATGGCTTGACTTCAAATTTATCAGATAAGCATTCTGATGGACAAACAAAAGCAGGAAGGTGAACCAGCAGCTGCATCATAGTGGTGTGTGTGTGTGTGTGTGTGTGTGTGTGTGTGTGTGTGTTCAGACACTGGAAGCACCAGTCTGCTTGGAGTTGAGGGAAGCAATCAGCACACACTTGATGCCTTCCACGGGCAGGACTCTGAGTGATTGGTAAGAAAGTCAGCAAGGGTGGGAGATTCTGATGTTTCTAAATAAATAAATAAATAAATAAATAAATAAATAAATAAATAGGATCTGTCAATCATTTTCTTAGAAAACAATAGACAATGGAATTAGGAGCTGTTTTCTGGGATTTATGATTCCAAGGGACAGAGGAGAGGGCTTAATGTTAGCATTCACTGAAAAAACCTGGCTTTGTAACTAATTCTCCTGGGGCTTACAAAGCTGAAGTGCGCAGAAAATGAAGAACACTGCCAGGAAGGCATTGATGCAGCGTCGCACCGCGACTCTCCAAGCGAACAGTGTGTTCTAATCCTTCAGCAAACGGAGTCAATTGTATAGTGCAGGACGTTGCTGATAAGATAATAACCCTGCCTTTGGTATCATTTGTCCACATTTTTGTCTCCCAGAGAAAATGACAGGCTGCAAATTTTGCTAGTTGCATCATTTCATCCATGTGTTATAGGAATATCTTCCATATATTATTGAATGTCTGATTTATGCCAGCCGCACTGCACTTTGGTTCTGGGCACATGCTGAGCTTCTGTTCCCCTTCTCCAAATCCCCCTGTTAATGCTTCATCTCCAAAATAGTACAGTGAACACTTGGAGTCTTGGATG